ATATATATATACAAACACACATGGATATATAAAACTATTAACACCAAAAACTTCTCATTTGACGTGGGATACCAGACATTCTTTTTTCCTCTCTTGACTGGAATAGTCGTGGACTGCATGATTTCATCTGACTGGAATACTGATGTTCATGAACAAAAACTTGACATTTTCTTTCACATTATACTTTGCAAACACTACAACAAAAGTAGTTCAAAATATGCCTTGCTTGGACCTCAAATACTTTTTCTTTTTCTCTTGAATTTTGTTCTCTCCGAAGAATGCACATACACACATATCTCTTCCTTTTTTTGCTCTTAACTTTTCATGCACTCTTTCAAAAAAAATTGTTCCTTTTTTAACATTTCGTTTTTATAACTTTCCCCGCTCTATATTTAGCCTTTTAGAATATTTGGAGCATTTTCGTTACATACTTATCATAGTACCTTGTAAAAATTACTTTCCAGAAATGCTAAGAAAACTGTTTAAAATAAGTGTCCGGACTGTCTATAAAACAAGGCCGACTTACAATTCAAAATGCAACACTGTATATATATATATAAAAAGTCAGAACCCCCTTTCAGCAATTATTCTTGAACTAATAAGTCATGATGAACACTAGGCAAACAAGCAGCACTAATACAATGGACAGCACACTAGACTCCCTAGTAGTTGTAAGTATAATAGGAAATAATAGATAATAGCAAAGTATACGCCACGATTCTTCATCTTTATTTATGCTATACTGAGGAGCCAAAACATATTTGCAATTTGCAGTAAACAAAAATGAGTCATAAAATAATGGCAAGTATTTCCCTTAATTTCCTTTATCTTCATTTCTTTTATATTGAGGAACAAAAACCTATTTACAATTTGCAGTAAACAAAAATGAGTAACAAAACAATTGCAAGTATTTTCCTTAATTTCCTTTAATCTTTACTTCTTCTATACTGAGGAACAAAAACCTATTTGCAATTTGCAGTAAACAAAAATGTGTCACAAAATAAGGTCAAGCATTTCCTTTAATTTCCTTTGGAAATAAAAACTCGAGTTTATAAAGTATATTATAACATTATTGCCTTAGAATTATAGACGCTTGTCTTTAGAAAATTAAATATCACATATTTTGTCTAGTTAACTATGGATTCCTTAGAAATACAATCATTTTAGTTGGTTAAAAGTTATTCCGTAAAAACTGTGCAAAGGTCAGTAGTCCATTATGTAAACTAGAATAATTATGCTCTCCGGGATTGTTACATTATGCATTTATGTGCATACACGGGTGTGCAAGTGAAATAGCACTAGCTACGCATTATTGCTGGACTTTCGCCACTCTTGCTGCACCAAAAATACAATCATTTACATCATAAATAAATGAGCAAGCTATTCAAGACATTGCCAGCAGAGTAGCGGCGAACTGAAGCAGAACAAGGCCCGGCAAAGCCACATCAGTGACAAACTCCTCAAGTATAGAAACAACCCCCCCCCAAAAAAAAAACAAACAAACAACAAAACAACAACAACAAAACAAAAAAACAAACTCACCCTCATCTTCGCCCCAGGATACCAATGCAGCCAACCTTTACTAAGCTGCTTTGAATAGTAGCATCATTCGTACAATTTTCTTTTCTGACTTCCTGAAACATAACACTGGTCAGGTCAGCAACAAGCTGGTGAAGGGATCGCGACCACGGGAATGTAGCGACCCCATCTTGGTCTTTTGTGCCTCTGGGCAGTCGAACCCTTTTGTACCTAGATCTTATGCAACGAGCCCGGTCATTTTTATTCACCGAGAAAGTACACAATACATTATCTTCTCTGCCACAGCGGCTCAAGAGAGAGAGAGAGAGAGAGAGAGAGAGAGC